CGCGCGCTGCCCGCTCCATGGTGCCGCCTCGCCCGGGTCCCGCTCCCGCCGCTGCCGCTGCCGCTGCCGCGCCGGGGGCTGCGGGACATGCGAGAGGCTGAGGCAGGAGGCGGAACCCAAGCAGCGGCGGCGGCGGCGGGCAAGGCTGCGGCGGGAGGAGCCCCCCAGCAGCGGGAGGACCGGCCTCCATGCGTCTCTCCCGGTGACTAGGATGTCGTCGGAGGAGGACCGCAGCGCGGAGCAGCCACGGCCGCCGCCACCCGCCTCGGAGGAGCCCGGTGCCGCGGCCCCGAGCCCCGCAGCCGCAGACAAAAGACCTCGGGGCCGGCCTCGCAAAGATGGCGCTTCCCCTTTCCAGAGAGCCAGAAAGAAGTAAGTTGAGCGCGAGCGGGGCCAGGCCGGCGGCCAGCGGCAGCCTGGCCCGAGCTGTCAGCGCCCGCCCTGCCGGCCCGGCCAGACTGGGTCCCTCCCGGTGCGCGCCCCCGACCCGGTGGGGGCGGCTCGGGCCCCGCGGACGGCCGGTGCGGTGGCCCGCGTCGCGCACTTTACTTTTACTTCGGCCCCGGCAGTGCCTGGCTCGGGCTCCGTTGCCTAGAGAGGTTTCTCTGGGTCTGTCGGCCTAGCCGGGACGCCGAGCGGCACCCTGCCGAGCGCGCCCCCGTGGTGTCCCCGAGGGGCGTCGCGGGATCCACAAAGCCGCCGGCCGAGGACCGAGCTGTCAAACGCCGCGGCCAGGTGGTCCCGGCAAGGGGCGGAGGCACCCGGCCGAGGAGGGGCTGCGCAGCTTCCCTTTGTCGGCTGGTGGCTCCGGGAACTTTTGCGAGCCCAGACCTGTGTGCTGTGCCTTCACGCGCTCGGGGGAAGCCATTGGGGCCCGCGCCCTCCCCTCCCCCAGCCCGGCCCCGCACCGCCCGGTCCGGCCGCGCCGCGATCCCACGGGACGCGGGCAGATGTCGCGGGCTTACAGCTCCAGCTCCTGCTCCAGCTGGGCCAGGGTTGGGCTGCGATCGTCTCCTAGCCTGCTCGAGGATGGCGCACAGCCGCCGGTTGGAGAACTGGAAGTGTGTTTTGAAGAAATGGTGCTACGACAACTTTGCCTGTAGCCCGTTTTGGTGTCGCGCCATAGCTCGGCCCCCGTGGCTCCGCGGGGCGGCGTGGACGGTGCGCGAGTGTTTCTCTGCTTTCTCGGTTGTAGAATGGCGTGTGCCCCTTGCTCATTGTATGCTGTGCTCCCTCGCCGAAGCGCCGGTCGTGCAAGGGTGCGCCGGGACGTGGAGGAAGCCGCGCTGTAGGAATAGGCTGTGGCTGACTCACAGGCCGTCCTTCGGCAGTAGTATTGTTGTGTTCGGTGATCGGCAGGAAAAATACGAGTGTAAAATACGAGTGTTCATCGAGGCGTTGCGGGGCCAGTGTATGGGAACCCCTAAATCTCGAACCAAGCGAATGTCGCTTTTTCTGCTTTGCAATTCCTTTACGCTGAAAATGTTTTAGGGCCTTCGACCGCCTCCATATTTTGTCGCGAGCGCCTACCTAGCTGTGAAGAATGTTGAGGGAAGGAAGTGCAGGATGTATACATTATTACATTAGCTGCTTTGTGGTACAAAGTTAGTGTTTACCATGGTGCTTTAATTTAAGGTCGACTGTAAAAGGGCAGTATGTCTGCGTTCACTGAGATTTGGAGAAGGAAGGTGGAGTTTTAAGTAACTAGACAATTTCGTTACTTTTTTGTATCTGTTAAAAGAAATAGGACAGGTCATGTTAGATTTTGCTTCCAGTTTTGCAATTTGGAATGCCTTACTTGGTCTCGATAGAACGTTAATTTGAGGTTACTGTGTATTTTAGATTTGCATTAAAATTTCGTCTAGGAAGAGTAGAGTTGTCTGTGCCATCACACCCGGCTCCAGCAACCGTGCAAGTGCATATACGCACGCTCGATCTCAGTTGTGTTAGTGCAGCCCTTGGGAACCGTGGAGGAATGCTTGGCTTAGGGTATTGCTGCTTTAACTTTTAGCTTATGAGTGGAGAGAAAGGTGGTTTTCTAAGAAGTGAAAGAATTTCCAGGGAGTAACAGTATAAACTTAATTAAACATCAAAATTTTGGGATGTATTTAGAATAATTTATTTATTTACTTTTTTTTGGCGGAACTGGGGATTGAACTCAGGTCCTTGCGCTTGCGAGGGAAGCGCTTATTCCACTGAGCCATCTCCCCGACCCCTAGAATAATGTTTTAGAGAGGTTTTTTTTTTTTTTTTGAATTTAGAAACTAGTACGGCATCTTTTATTTTATTTTTTGCTCCAAATGCCTTCAGGGCAGGTTTGGCTGGCTTGAGTTGTGGGGATTGAACCACAGCAACATGAGCCTG